GCCCGCCGAGACCGGGGAGTCTGGGTCCTCCGGAGGACCCGTCCTGCCGTTTTGGACACAGCTGTAGATAATTTCACTAAACTCTGATCCAGAGCCGCACGGCATTCTGGGGGATAAAAGAGGAAAAGTCACATCACCAGTTTGACAGCATTAATCTACCTTTTTCCTCCTGGTCCTTAATTCAAATAGGTACAAAAAAACTAATCAATAATTATCAACATCGACTGATATGAAATGTTTTTGTGAAACATTTTTAGTCTAAACTGGATTAAAAAGATTTTTTTTATTACATCAAACTCATACAGTTTAGGGATGGGCATGTTGCTAATCTGATGGTCATTATTTGGTTGTTCTTCAGTCAGTTGAAACGTCCTGCAGCTGAAAAACTAATGAAACACAATCTTTAGAYTCCAGAGAAACGGCCTGAACTCACCTGTGATCATAGTTTCTACTGTATAATCCTTTCAAAATAAAGTACAATRGTAGAAACAGACATTAGGATGCTCAAAGTTGTTTTTATAAGTTTTTTTTTTGTTATATGTGTTTAAAACAGAACAGGAAATGTTAGATAACAATAGATGTCCACATAAACGACAACAAAAAAACGTTGCCTAAATTGTTCAAAATTTCCCAATTTAAATACACTAAAAAATATTAATCAGTCCATACCTACCAAAAACAGCTGCATGTAACTGAAACTAAATCAGCTTTTTTATTGTCTGTATTCCCTCGTGCTCTGGATGCACTGAGATTTCTGTGTTTTAAACGTTTAACAACCTTGTAGATTTTTAAACAAGAYTCAGAAACTGTAAAATTACCGTAGATCCCATCAGTGCACAACACAGGACAGCTCTGTTAGGAAAAGAAGAAAAAAAAAGTCTAATCCAGGAATTAAGTAAATAGTTGGAGCTAATGGGCATATGTAATTAGTACATATGATCAATAATTATAAAAGCAGTCGTGCAGAGGCAGCCCTGACTGTGCAGCTGCTGTCGTTTTTAATTAAGATCATTTWATTGATCTAATTTAAATACTCATTTAGTTGATTTAAACCTTTTTGCTCTCTTCTACGGGCACATTTTAAAAAGGGAAAAAAGTAAAATAAGTTTACCAAGGCACAAACAAATCATTGTGTTATATCGGTAAAWGCTTATTTGAAAAATTCTGACTATTTAACTATTTACTAACCTTTATTTAGCCAGGCAAATCCCACTGAGTTCACAGATCTTATTTGCAAGAAAGGCCTATGGAGGACAACAGAGCTGCTTCATGGAAGAAGAACCTCAGCTTAGCCTGATAGCTTTAGCTCTGACACTATATTGCCTTATACTGTATGTATTAGCTCGGTGCTAGTACGACACAAGCTAAACTGAGGTCCTCCATCCATATTTTCAGTTGCAGGCTGAGTCATATTTGCGTTCCCCTC